TGCCTCGCATGAATAGAGACCGGACGATGTCTGACGCAGCAACCTGTACGGCAGGGCAACGGAGTTGGGGGAAGAGAAGAGTTAAAGCGGGAATTCCTGAATAACTAATAACTAATAAGTAATAACAAATAACAATAATGATAATGATCATTATATAATGAAATAATAATAACAACAATAATAACAACGAGATGATGATAAGATGGTGGTGCAAAATTGTAATTAGGAAAGCAAATGCCGACGCCGAGAGGTCCAGCCGCCGTGCAACTCTGCAATTCGCAACTCATCCCGCGCACAGATGCAACTTCCGTTCCCCCCGCCCCCTCCTCGGCCCCCTCCCCCCCCCCAATGTCCGATTACATCATATCACGCTTTACGATACCCTTCCTTCTTTGCCGCCTATTTAGTTTTACACATCACCTCTACGGCTTCGTTTGTTCTCCTTTTTTCTGGTTTTTTTACAAGACTTTCCTTTCACTTAGGCGGCTAGGCAGTTCTTCTGCGGTTTTCGCCTTCTGCTGCCTTCTTTGGACTGAAAAGACTTTGGACTTGCGAGCTAGTCAGTCATTCGTCTCGCAACCCAGCTATGGCCACGTCGCCGCCAAGACTACTTCTCGAGCCATCGCTGGTGACAAGGAATCATATTTCCAGATGCAGCATTTATCCCCTCCTGGACTACTACCCGCCTATACCCGGTATATCTGCGCTTCATTCGCCAGTGGTTCGTCTTAACCCCCTCCTCCCCGTCCCCGAGAGAACAACAGCAGAAACCCACTCGCCCTCCTCCCCCCATTCTCACCCTCACCCCCGTGCGCCCCAACCTATTTGCCGTATTGCCGTACTAACCGCCATACCTGCAGAAGCGCAGCCAGCTCGTCCAACGACATGCCCTCGTCGCCGACCTGCAGAATGAATGGGTGAGAGAACGTAATTTTATGTTGATGAATAAACGAGTAAAAAAAGAAACAACTAAAAGAGCGAATATTATATATTTCAATATAATACATCAATACATACGACTTAATTTGGTGTACATATGGGGGATGTACGCCGGGTGATGTACGAGCGAGGCAGCGAGACTGATACACATGTGTTCAAAAGAAAAACCCTTCTCCTCTCCCCCCGCCAGTTTCCTCCCCCCCCCCGCGCCTCCCCCCTCCCACTGTCGTGTTGTACTACACACGTCCATAACCCCCTTCTAACGGTGTCTCTCAACCTAAGGGCCCCTGCGCCACCGCCTCGCGGTCGGCCCGCGCATTGCCACCGGAGCTCAACAGCCCCTCGCCTCTACAAACCTCGACCAACACCCCCCCCCTTATTACCTGCTCCATGTCGATCACGAACACCCTCCCCCCCCCTCAGTGTGTTCCTTGCTTTCCCCCACCAGCCACCACCACCCCTCACTCCCCCGCACCACCACCACCACATGTACCGCAGGGCGTACGGAATGCCGTACCAAAACATTTCTATTCCATTTCATTTCGTCACAAGTCCCTCCCCTTACCCTCCTCCTCCTCCTTTTCTTCCCCACAGTCCGGGCGGAATACACAGAGGCTCCGACATCCTACCCTCGGCTTGTTAGCCTACATCCCACACGAGGACGTTCCCACGTACGGCGACGTCTTCATCCCCCACACCAAGATACCTACCTACCCACCTACATACATACATACATACGCGAAAAAACTCTGAAGCCTCTTCAATGGGGGACATTCTCCATACCCCCAGTGTCGTACAGCCATCTCCCCCCCGACATGCCCTCCCGTACAGTGATAACCCAATAACCTCCCCCAAATTGCCCCTCTGCCTCCTCCCCCTCCCCCGCCCCCCGGGGTAACTATTTAGTACAGTCCCGCCATTTCAGAAACAAAAAACTGTTTACCGTTACTTCTGTTTACTGTTATTGCTGTTTGTTGTTGGGTCCCGGGGTTTCCACCCCTCCCCTTCCCCCCCTCCCCTCTCCTTTCCCACCTCTCCTCTATTCCTCTCCCCCCAAACCCCCAAAAGGCCCCCCCCGCCCCCCGCACCTCGAAGATCTCCTCCTTGTCCCGCCTCCTGGCCGCCTCCTTCTCCATGCGGACCGCCTCACGCTGCCTCCTCGCCTCGCGCTTCATCTCCGCCGTCACCTGATGCAAGCACCCGCACCCGCACCCGCCAGCGGGGTCAGGAGGCGCGAGGAGGGGTGCGGTTGGTGGCGGTGGGGAGGGTTAGGGGGTGTCGGGTTAAGGGGGTGTTGGGCGGGGATGATGGGTTAAGGGGGTGTTGGGCGAACTGAAAGACACGGGACATCGCGTAGGCGTGTGGGAGGACATCTGCCGAACGGAACGAATGGGCTCGTAACGCTCTGATTGGTGGAAAAGGCTGAAAGGATAGAACATCAGGACAAAAGCAAATCCGCAGGATCCGCAAAAACCGCAGGATCAGCGGAAGCATCCTCGCTCTTCGGCACGCGCAAACCCAAAATGAGTACATCAAAATGAGTACATGAGACTTCCCCATTTGAAAGCGACCCAGATCGTTTGGGACGACCAGAACGCGGCCACGGCCGCGGAAAGCGGCTCGCTTATGGAGGGTCATACACACACATACACACACACAGGAAGAGAGAGAGAGAGAGAGAGAGAGAGAGAGAGAGAGAGCGCACCACAAGCCCGGGGCCGCACACACATACATACAAACACCCTTCCCGTTCATCATACACATACACACATACATACACACGGACATACATACATACATAGATACATGCATACATACGTGCATGCCGACATCTGCGGCGGGCGGCCTTGCTTACCTTCTCCTTCCGCTTCCCGGCGCCCTTCTTGCCCTTGCCCTTGAGCGCGGCACCCTTGTTCATGAACTCCGCATCCTCATCGTCAAACATGTCCGTGCTCAGAGCCGCATCCTCGTCCCCCTCCACGACCTCCTGAATCTCAAGACGCTTCGCCGCCGCCGCCGCCCCGGGAGCCATCAACGGCTCCAAAACCCGCAGTGACGGCGGATTGGGGCGATGAAGCTCCAGGGAGCCGGCGGCCGCAGCGGCGGCGGTAGCGGCGGCCGCTGTCGTCGGCGCCGCCGCCGCCGGCTGCCGCGGCAGCAGATCCGGGCGAGCCGGGGGCGGCATGTTGCGCAGAGGCCGCGGCGGGGTGGCGGGACTGCCTGCCGAGGCGCCCTGTGGACCCATGGGACGCGGCGGCGCGCTAGAACCACCGGGCTTGGGTCGCGGCATGGGGCGGTTCAGACGGGGGGAACCTGACTGGGAGGTGGGGGGCGGCGGCGGCGGGGGCCGCTGCACCGGCGGAGGCGCGAGGCCGAGGGAGGACGGTGGCGACGCCGATGACGACGCTGCCGACGGCGGCGTTGGACGTGAGATGTTGGCGAAAGGATTAGCAACCGGCGGCGGCGCCGCCGCTGCCGGCGATTGAGTTCCGGGACGAGCGATATTCGTGAACGGGTTTGCGACCGGCGGCGGCGTCGGCGGCGCTGGGGCCACGGGTCGGGACATGTTGGCGGCGAGGGGTTTGGCAGCTGGAGCCGGCGGTGGCCCGGTCGGTGCTGAGCGACGATCCACCACATTGGATTGCTGCTGCGGCTGCCGCGGCGTCTGGGGCGGCGGCGGCGGTGGGCGCGACGGAGGGCTCATCGTCATCGCGCCTGTGCCGCTCTGAGGCCGGGGGGGACCGGGTGGGGCTACCTGGGTCTGCAGCCCTGCAGGTCCAGGAGGGGAAGGAGTGCCCGGCCGCGGCCTCGGAATAGGTCCGCTAGAGCCTGGAGGCGCGGAGAGGGGGACGGCGGACGGCTTGGCCGGGCTAGGGGGAGGGCCGGGCCTAGGCGGGGGTCCTGGACGGGGGGGAGCTGGGGCGCCGTTGGCGTAGCTGTTCCCGTTTCCGTTGCCGATTCCACCGGCAGCTGACTGTTGGCGCTGCTGGGCAGGGAACTGGGGCTTTGGTGGTGGCGCGGCCGGTCGGGGGGGCGATGGCAGCGGAGGCTTCGTCAAGGGCTGTGGCCCTGCGGAGCCAGGACCGGCGGCGGCGATGACGCCGCTTCTCCATTTGAGCGGACAATATCTGGAAGCTAAAGGAGCTTTATAGGGCTGGAACGAGGAGCATCCCGATACCGATGGGAGGGTCGTATGTGCAGCCATGCTGGTTCAGTGTCGATCCACCCGCCTCCCGAATATAATCCGCGCTTTGGGTTAATTATAGAGGGTAAAGAAGCAATTGCCCAACCGGTCTGCTGCGCGAACCTGTTGGTCAGGGTGTTTCCATTTCTAGGGACAGAGAATTAGCTATTATATAATATAGATTTTGTCCTATTGAGTTATGGTGCTATACCTCAAGTTTGTGGCAACGTATGCGCGTATATTGTGTGCATGAGCGTTCGCGGCCACATCTTACAATGGACCAGATTTCGGGATTCATCATCCATCCATCCTCATATTGTGACCCAAATCACGAAAGATTATTTTCAATTCTCTTGTCGCGTGATTGTTAAAGGATAACGTGATTTGATGTCCAGTCTCCTAATGAACGCACACACCCCGAAACGCCCGGGTTTGTGTAACGAAATTTATGTTGCCTACAAATTCATCTCAATTGTTTTGAGATGCCTAGCAATAATTTTGTACAGGAGCCCTTCGCCGCCAAAGATTAGCATTCGGCTTGCACGCTATTAAAAGCAAGGCTCCTCCAAACCACCGATCTTTTTTCATAGTGGTACTTTTATTCCATGACTTGATACACTTTCTTCTGCGCAGCTGGTGATCTCAGCCTTTGAGCACGTTGCGGCCTGACCTTTGGGACTCAATGGCTCACTGTAACATTCAAACTCCCGAGCTTTAACGCTAAATATCCACAGCAATACGTGTCATGCTGGGCACGTAAGCTGCCATCGGCCATTGAGTCATACGGGTCCAGTCAATCGGGTCGATAGGTTTCGACGTCCAGTGCGCAGCCGTACCGCCGTCGCCGTACGGCTGCACTCTGCTCTGCACCCCTTATCGTGCTGCTTATGCAACCTCAGCCTGACCCACATGATGCGTCCTTGTGCACCAATAAGGTGGCATCCCTAGTTGCAAATGACACGCACGTGATCGTTTGCATCTCACTAATGGTCGACTCCCCTGGCCAGCGCTGTCGTACTATTGTTTGAAAGCGCCTACCGCTCCCCATGGTACCCTCATTCCTATCAGTGTTCGAGATCTCCCTTCATGTCCTGGGTGGCTGTCCGACTTGCACCTGCATACCGAAAGGCAGGGGCGTGGTGTGGCCAACACTCACCGCACTGTACCGTTAAGAACCTAAAAGATGCACAGTTTGGTGCACAACGCTGCTCCCGGCGGGGCGATTTGGTGCGGTGCATGCTTTTCTATAACGGGGACCTGCCCAGTGAACAGACCAAAGACAGATAGACAGACCTTGCAGAAAACGTAGTTCAACGTGTTTTACGTGTCCCTGTGTGTTCGAGATTATGAAAGCGTCGTTAGTCCCATTCCAAGGCTGCATAGAGGAGACCTTTCAGTACGGCAAAGAAGTGCCATGCTGTTATGCGGGAACTAGTGCTGCGGTGCTGCTTTCGTGTCTACGCGCGGAAAACGAGTTGTTGGTCGCGGCGGCATTTCGGCACACGCCATGCCTCACATGGCAGGATCCAGTACTGCCTCTCCTCTCCCCACCAGTCACCGCACACAGCACGTTGGATATTGCGCACAGGCCTCTTCCGCACCCGAGTGGGCTTCCCATGAACTGTTGTGCCAGTATTGCTGATAGGCCACGTTCAACGCTGCAACCAAGTCATATGAGGGTCCTGGAGCGCTGAAAGCATTCTGTAGAACGACCCAAATGGAAAGAACCTTTCAATTCAGAAACGCCACAAGGCACCTGCCCACTGCTTATATGCTAATGCTTCTTTGCCTGTAGTCCCCTGTGTCCTGCACTCCTCAACCACGTTGGCTGCGATTAAAGGCCAACATGCTGTGCGCAAATTGCTGCTTTCGAGACGACAACGGCTGCCGCAAATGACCCCGTGTAATAGCGCTGACCTGTAGGTGCACTTGGGCTCCCTGCAAGATCAAAATGCACCTCTCGACAGCCCCCACTGGCCATAAATACAGAGCTTCTAAACGCTTACACCCCAGCTGGCCGTGAGGATGCTGACCCCGATCAGTCGCATGCACGCCTCCCCACCCAAGGGTCCCCACGACAAGGAAATATATATCAGATGGATGCTGCTGTAGGCAAGTCGTGCTGTACATGGAGACGTGCATGGAAACGTTCTGAACGACGAACGGCTCGCCATTGCCGTATGGTTACAAGCATTCCCAGACAGCCCCCGTGCAGCCGGCCCACAACCCTGGCGCTTAGGCAGCCTCCTCCTTGGCAGCCTCCTTGGCCTTCTTGGCCCGCGCACCCACTAGCCGGACGTTCGTCCGCTCCAGGCGCAGCTTGGCGTAAGCCGTCGCCTTGATCTCGCTCAGCTCCTTGCCCGCGTTCGCCTTCATCTCGCTCGTGACCTTGACGGTCTCCAGCGCCGGCTGGGTGCGCACAATCGGCATGACCACGGCGCCCGTGGCCTGGGGAACCACCTTGGCCTCCGCCAGAGGGGTCTCGAAAGCCTGCACGCATGCAGATATATCCCCATGCAGCAGGAAACGGAAACATCCTGAGAGCCTCGCGGACTGTAAAAGTTCCTCTAAAAGAGTGGGTAGCCCTATCGTATGGCGCGATGACTTAGATACTTAAGACACGAAAACCCACATGTTACCAAAGCATGGAATATCTTGGGCATACGGTGTCAACGTACTCCCACCTAACAACGTGTTTAGTCCCCCGGATATCCCCATTCGTTCAAAAACATCTTCCCCAGGTTTATGGACAAAAACTAAGTAGGCGTTCATACCACACCCCGTGAAGCGAGTTGTAGAAAGCCAAAGGACCCACGCTCAGTGACTTGTTTGGTGACCTAGTCATTGTTGTTCGGTCAAGTACTCAGGGAGGGGGGCACGAATCTACAAACCAACCCAGCCACTTCCATTCGGTTCAGTCCGCCCATCTATTCACCTTTGGCTTCTTGACGTTGCGAGGGAACACCACCAGGTTGCTTCGGTAGGCCTTGAGGCGCTGCACGTTCTCCTGCAAATACCCACAGTCGTGCTGAAAACCGGTCCTGCTAGGCCGCAAAGTACCTTAAGTCGCCTTAAAAGCTGTAGTTCATACCTGCAGGCTCTCCAGAGACTTGTTGCGGCGGCGGTGATCAACGGCAATGCCCAGGCTCGACGCCATCCGAACGGCAATGCCCGCCTCCTGCAGTTCGGAAGCCCATCTGCTTACTGTTCTCCAGCTAAAATCCGATCTGAACTGCCCACAATTACCTTCAGCTCATCCAAGGTGAAGCCCTTGCCCAGACGCTGCTTGCTGTTGTACTTGAGCGTCTGTCCACGCACCACAGGCCTCAAAAGGCCAGCAGACGGCCGGGGGAACACCTTAGCGGCCTTCGCGGCGCGTGCTGCATAATATAGGATCAATATATGCTGTTGAGAAACTCGTTAAATCCACAAAGCTGCTGCAAACATCCTCACCATTCCGGCGGCGCTCTTTGCGGGCGGCCTGGTTAAACCAGGTCCGCACGTAGAACTGCCACTTCTTCTTGAAGTGGTTGTTTGGAACGACGTTGTTGTGCCGGACCATTTTGCCCTGTGCGAAATTTCAAGAAAAATGCTCTTATGGAAAGAACTGGATGGAGCCTACGCTAACTCATGTGCAAAACTTACAGGTCGGCAGGTAAGGCCAAGAAGAGAGAGACACAGTGATGGTCAGCGAGTCTTAAGTGGCGGCGTGCAGTACGTAGTCTCGGAGCTAACCCAGTTTGGAACAACCAAATGCAGGCTTTTCATATCAAAAAAGAAGTCAAGATGCGTATCCAGGGTCTGATTAACATAAGCCCATATGTGTGATATGCAGGACGCCCACAGACATGGACATGTAGTCCTTGGGAACTTTCCTAATGCATTATCCCATCCGGGGACCATCCGGACTGCATATACCATATTGGTTTACATGCAGCCCGCCGTAGTCATGCCGCGGCTCTGATGCAGCTGGCCAGGCCACTAATGCACTTAAGGGTCAGGCATTAGGGGGTCCAGGTAGACCACAGATCACTCGAGTGCCGTGCACGCCCGGGGGCATCGTCCCCCCCCCACACACACCCCACACAAAGCCAGGCATGCACAGCCGAAACATACAGCTCCTCTCGCCCTAAGAGAATGTTTGGGCCGTCTTTCCCTTGACGTTCTTAGGGTGTAGCTCTCCTTGACCTGTGTCAAGCCCTGTCTGATGAAAAGTGCCTCTGTGTGTATGGGTGTGTCTGTATGCACCACTTGGAGCTGCATCACCCTCCAAAGATACACGACGTGTGTGCACAGCGCATGCAGCAGCGTGTACAACGCTCCTGCTGCTGGTGGTCCTGTCAAGAACACGCACCTTCCGGAATGTTCCGGTGTAGATAAGAGACGGCGTTTCGAACGCAGTGCATATGAATGAATGAATGAATGAATGCACGCAGGCAGGCAGGCAGGCGCACACGCCATTGCCCTCCGAGCTGCAGGAAACCTAACGCTACACCCGACCATAGCCCATGAGACACACACACATACCCTATACACACATACCCTATACACACATACCCTACACACACATACCCTACACACACATACCCTACACACACACACATACCCTATACACACACTACACACAACACACACATACACACGTGGGCGAATGGGGCACGAATGCGGGACTGACTGTGTACAGCGGGGGAACAACTCCCAGTGGTGCGCCACCAAGGGACCATATAGCAGCAGTAGCAGTGACTCCATAGCAGTGGAGGAACAGTGTCCAGTGTTTGGTCAACGTAGGCCAACTTATGGTTTTGGCAGAGCACGGCCATGCTCAGCGCGGTGTGCAGCACGCGGGTTTAAGGGCGGCAGCTCAGGGAGCGTTTCTTGGCCTGTTCAATGGCTGCACTTGCAGCTTCCCTTCCCTGGGTTAACCCTCCAGGACCACCAACTAGTTTCACCTCCGTCGTTACCAAAGGCTAGGGACTGGACCAGGCGGCCAGGTGGGTGGGCCAAGGCCGAGGGATGGTGACGGCTTTAGGGGGCATGAGGCCTAGACAACGGCCTAGGTGCCACCTAGGCCGTTGGGAGGGAGGGTCCTATCACCATGTGGGAGGGAGGGAGGGAGGGTCTAGGGGAATATCACCTTTAGGGGAATATTGCAGGACATCCATGGTGAGGCAGCTGAGGGGAAGACATCCGAATTTGGTTACATAGGTTTGGAGTTTGGAGGCAGCTGAGGGGGTACGGGAGAAGCCATTTTTCCTCGCAGGGGCTTTCCTGCGCGCGTCTGTGTGTGTGAGTGAGTGAGTTTGTGAGATGGCGATCTCACTACCCAATGACGACAACAGAATAAAGCTTTTGCGCGCGGGCTGCAGCCAGCACCGTCCGAACGACGTGATATTCCGCGACTCGTGTTTCGACGCCCAAGCGTCTGGGGTATCTCGTTGATTAGTTAGTAGTCCGCACGGCATGCAGCGGATTCGACCTGTCATCACATCGCCGATCAGCAATAGTGTCGGGCAGCGACCTTCCCGCACATCCCCGCACCGTGTATCCATCAAGGCAAGGAAAGCCCCGAAGAGAAGGTACCAGGGCTGGCGGGCCCTCCTGGTAATAGATCTAGCTCGGAAACAACAGCTCGCCCCAAACCACCTGATGGCGGTATGGTTGCTAGCAGTGGGGCCAACCCATTATGCTAACAAGATGTTACTTAATCTATATGGCGATGGTGGGAAGGAGTGGTGGGGAGGAGAACTTCTTTTAAGTCCCGCTTGCGCCCCTGTCCCGCACAGTGCAGTGCAGCAGAAAGTCTTGTACAGCACAATGCTTGGTTATCATGAAGGAAATAGTGTCGGGCCGACCCGACCATCAGGCCATCCAAGCGACTTTTGCTCTCGCTGAGCCCGCGCACCTCTGCCATCCTGCCACTGCACCATCTGCGGCGTGGTGGGTAATAAAAGAGGCTCTAAGCTGGGTTTTGTAACGAGCTCGCCAACAGCGAGCAGCGCTGGCCTTTTTTAGCGCAAGCACCCCTTCACACTAGGCCCGCACACAACTGCACACACCCGCAAACCCTCCCCCCTTCTTTCCCCCTGGGGGGAAAGGACGGAGTGTGCCAATGTGTGTTGCCCTCTATACCTTGCATGGATTGGGACTTCATTCGCAGTGCCATGTCCACGTGTGGAATTATACCGAGCACGAGACGTGTGCCGACAAGCCTGCCTGCCTCCACGTCACGCAATCGACCCTCAGCGGTTCCGGAGCGCTTGATGACCGGTTGGGATTCCTACCCCCTGAGTTACCCCGTGTACCGTACACGCTTGTCGTTCCACTGGAGCTTTAGCCATTCCGCCGGAGGTGCTGTGTACTGATGAGTCGAAGAGTGCATGCAGTCTGCCTGCTGGTGTTCGGATGGCTGGCAAAGGGCAACCGCTGGGTGGGCATCCCGCCCAATGAGAAGAACGCACTAAGAAGCCGTCCATGTCCCCCTCGTTTTTGTGCGGAATTTGCAGGTTGCAACTGGGAGATGGGAGATATAGCTGGACCCGATAGGCTAAGGACCCGAAGGTGTCGCACTATTGCACATGTGTGTTGAGCCTGTTCACGCCGCTCAGTGTGGCTCAGCGGAAGGAGCTCATGTCGTTAGGGCTGTCAGCTGCTCGGGGCTCCGGGAGCTAACAGGGATGGGAGCTAACAGGAATGTCTTTGAAGGCGTGGTTGCGGCGTTGTTGCGCATGAGGTGTCAAAGACATGCAAGAACGGATGTAGAGGAGGTCCAGAGACCTGTGCCTAGCACCGTTTTGGTGCGTGATAAAACCGACCCAACCGTCCCAACCGCTCGGGTGACACGCCAAGTGTCTGCAACCGCCAGAAGCCGATTGCACCTCTTTCCAGATACCAAAGAACCAGGGACCAGATCGATGTCGCAGTCCAACAGCAATACAGCAATACACACACGCTCACACACCGATCGATACTCGGTTGTGGACCGGCCTCCGCCATAATCGGCCATGTTCGGGGGCTTCTGCCAGAAGGCTGCGGCATTTAGGACGGAACCGCAGGACGCAACCCTAGTCGCGCCACTCGTTAGCGCCGATGACCCATGGGTCGTGACCCGAATGATATCACCGGGACGGAATAGCCATACACGACGCGGCTAAGACTAAAGGCGCGTGAAGGATAGAACAGCGCCAGGGCGTACCCAGTGCGCGACGGATGTGGCCATACATCCTATGGTACGGCGACCCAAGCCGAGGGCGAAACGCATGTGCCGTTAGGCTGTCTTTCCGCCGTTAGACAGTCCCGCATACAGTGCGTACAAAGGGTTACGGGACAAAAGCACTCGGATTAGCTAGGTTATTGGAGTGTCTTCATACATGGACGCACGTTAAAACTTCCGGAGCTACGGTTCGTCAGTAAGTTAGCTTTCCCTTTTATTCGCTGCGTCGTACGGTTCTCTACAAACGCCTTTTGGCCGTATGCAGCGTTTAAAAAGCAGGGCAGTTGTTAGTGTGGAGCCCGACCGGCTCGTACGTGTGCAACACACCATGACGACCGCCAACCGCGCGCACAACACCACATTACACCTTATACGGCCTGGCATATTCATAGCCTCACTGGCGATATAGCCTCCGCTAGTACACAGTTTGAGCAACAAGCAACCCTTAAGAGCAGTCCCTTCACGGCTCGTAGCGGGCAGTCTGGCAGACATATACCACCTACCCCCGAGACCGCGTATCACATGCACACACGTCCCGTCACACACACTTGAACATACACACACAGCCACACACGCGGAAGCGGCCTTCTCTAGAGATGATTTGGCTAGATCGGATGGATGTGATTGGGTGCTGCTCGTGAGAAACCGCTGTCACAAGAGATTAGCTTCTGACATTGTACGGCTTGCAAGGCCATACGATGGTACGGGTGTACGGTGATTGCGGAACGGCCATATGGTGAACGTCGTCACATGTTTTGATTTCCTTGTCTCGCGCTTGTCTTGTTGACGTCGAATCACCTAGGATAGATAGTGCGGCAAGGATAATAGAAGGGGATTGCTGAAGTTCTCGGGTGAGGCCGGCTGGTGGCCCAATTACCCGCACCGCCCGCCAGCCGCACGAACCCACTAAGCCCCGCTTAAGCTACACGGCACGCCTGTATCATACCAAGAGGATAGCCGAGATTCTGCTCGCGGGGTCGCGTTGTGTGCCTTGGTGCACATGTACGTCCATCCGCAACCATCCACTGAAGAGCAGCCCCATACGGTGACAGCACACTTCGCAGACACACGTAATGCTACAGACTTCGTATCCTAAGATGGTGGTTTGCTGGACACAGATATTTGGATGCTACTGACGTGCTTGTGCTGGTGACGTGCGCTCCGATCGACAGGCCCCTTGCACGTGAAGTAATTCGCTGGGGTGCGTGAATCCGCCTCCTCATCGACTCCTTTTTTTGGGGAGGGGGGCAATATGCGGCGGCTTGCCGCGGCGATGGCGCACCTATATGGACAAGGTAAGATATGCGCACGCGGACTTGTATCCAGGCCCAAAGCACGCAGCAAGGATAAGTCATCATAGCCTCAAAGGGATTCACCAGGGTATGATGTGATAATGGTAGTTCCTAAGCTTGGTGACCGGGGGTACAATGGTGAGGACACGGTGGCCTGTCTTCACCATGTGTGTCGTGTGTGTAGTCTCCTGGATTCGTGGCAAAGGCACCTGGGCTCTGACGGCTTCCTGTCCAAATGTCATCGGCCAGTCCTGGAATGGGTCGTTTTATGCCCATCGCCCGCGTAGGTGCAATCCGAAGTGCGCGATTTGCCCAAAATAAAAGTTCTCTTCAACAAAAGCTAGTATCCCTCTTGAAGGATTTTGCCTAAGCCTTAAACAAGAGGCTGAACAGGAAGGGGAGCGCGGAAGCAAAGGAGCAATCCTGTCGAGCCTCAAGCAGCAGTCAGGCATGATAGGATCACCGAACAACATCCTCATTTGCGATAATACCTGCTGAACAGAGAATAAATAAATGGTGCACCTGTCAGCCACTTACAGGTCAAAAATAGGTCGCAACCGTACGTATAAGGCCTTTCTCCTTGCTCGCAAGTGTTCGGGCCAGTGTTTGGAGGGTCCCTTGAACGTCCTGCTTGTGTATTCCATTTAGGGTGTTGCAACAGAGCACATCCGGGGTTGCAGTGTGGATAAACAGCCGTTCTGTCCTGTTCTCCACAAAGTAGCAGCCATGGCCCTACAGCAGACTCGGGCCTTTGCGGGCCGCACATCGCTAAAGTCAGCTGCGATGCCTGTTCGCGTCAGCAAGTTCAGCCGCGCGCGCACAGTTCTGGTGGAGGCGAGGCAGTTCAGGAAGTCACTGGGCGTGTTGGGCACCAAGGCTGGCATGATGTCCTACTTCACAGAGAATGGCCTGTGTGTGCCTGCAACTGTTATTGCGCTGGAGGAGGGCAATGTGGTGACCCAGGTGAAGACCGAGGACACTGACGGCTACAATGCCGTGCAAGTTGGATACAAGGCTGTGGCCGAGAGGAAGGTTACAAAGCCTGAGCTTGGCCACTTGAAGAAGGCAGGCGTACAACCTATGCGCCACCTGGTAGAGTTTAAGGTAAGGCTGCGGCGACCCGGGCGGCTTGTGGCGTGCATTTCGCGAGGAGAGTGATGTGCATGACACGCTAGACGGCAATCACCTGGAAGGTGCACAATTATGTTATATGAATGCATTCCCTAAAGTTCAAGATATTGGTTCGTCTGTGGGAGCCTTACACGCCCTCGGTGTTGTTCTCTCGTTTTCTGCGCAGCTGTTACTCGATCCCGCTATGCCTAATCCGCAATTCCGCTCGCATGGTATCCCATTTGCAGCTCAAGGATCGCGCCACCGTCGAGTCCTACCAGCCTGGCCAGGAGCTGGACGTCTCTTCCCTGCTGAAAGAAGGGGAGGCCGTGGATATTGCCGGCGTCACCGTAGGCAAGGGTTTCCAAGGTGAGCGCGTGCACCGAAACTACTAAAATGGCAAAAGGGGAAAATGGGAGCGGGCGGATGCAGAAGAGGAGCTGTTCCTCTGCAGTCAACACAGCCCGGATTCGCCTCGTAAAATCCCTGCTGGTAAGTGCCGCAACGGCGCGATTCCAACGAGGCGCCAGGCAGGCCACACACAAAGGCACACATCGAAGGGTCATTGGGTTTCTCCCCTGAAGCGGCTGCCGGACCGTTGCGGGAGCTACTGCGCGCATCCATTGCCCTGTGCCAGGCGGAACGCAGCCCTCGATATGTATAAAAGCCGGCACACCGATCAAGAGGTTGGTTGACCTGGCAGTGCCCCAAAACACCAACAAAGACCTTATCTACGCAGGACAAGTATGGGTATGCGACCGCGTTTTCCTTCCACCGACATGTAGGGCACGGTGGTACGACTTGAGCAATTGCGTGAGTCGGAGCCGTCTGCTTAAGTGGTGTTGCTGCGTGTGATTTTTCCCGATTGGAGCTGACGGACCCGTCTCCGTGGGGCCGCTGGTTTGATTTCTTCTATGAGCGGCATCTGCGAAGCTCAACAACCACAGTACCCGAAGAAACGTTTTTTCCTTCATGCTTTTCATGTTTTTGCTTGGGGCGTGTTTTCCAGCCGTGTTGATCGGTCGACTGTTTGTTGCCTTTGAAAAAAGAATGCCGAGCCTAGATCGCTGGAAAGTCCGTTCAAACTCGCCATGTTATATATGTTGTGGTGAAGGTTACATAACACGCCTTTCTGGTTCTGGTTTGTTTCTTAGTGGGTGCTACGATTGCGGTATCCGGTGCACTTGGAACGTTTATTCCGGATCTGTGGTCTGTGCCGGTCCTCTGCCCTCCCAAGCAATATGCTGATGGCACGGAGAGGGTAATGAAGGGACGGGAAAGACGTCCCGACGATCTGGGTCAGGGGCGTCGCCTTCCCGTGGGGTGTGAGGGAGAGCTGGGCTTGGCGCCAGGCGCGTCTTTAGGTTTCAATATATCAATTGATGCCGACACCCTTAGCCTGCCCCATGGCACCGGGATCCAGCCGAAACAAGCGGGGGGGGATTCGATTGTTTATTTCAAACCGTGGGGTCAATTGCCAAAATGAAAATTAATGAAAATCCATTAGTAATGGACCCCTTGGTATTTTCATGGACCCCTTGGTCTTTTCCGGATGGATCGTGGCGTCCTTGGGCTTAGGGTTGTTGGCGTCGGTTGAGAAATAGTCAGCGGAGAGGCGTTGGACAGCCTCAGTGAAGCGAGAAGCGGAAATGCCTACAAAACCCGCGCCCTTGCGTTCGTGGAAGCATGTTTCGGGTTCAAAAAAACTGCTAGATGCGACCAGAATTGCCTTGTGGCTGGGGCTCTGAGGGCTTGCCCGGCCGCCGCCTTGCGTTCTTGGACCACCACGCTCAACCCCTACGTTCCGTCCACGGTTGGAGTTTTATCGCTCCATATAACATTAAACATATCACGCGCATTCACACATACATACATACATGCACCAGTGTTGTCTTCCTCGCCATCCCCCCTGCTCCTGCTCCTTGGCGTCGGTCGGCTAGCCGGACCAGGATAGTCGGGTCGGTCGGGTCGGTCGCGCGTTTTTTGGGGGGTTGGGAGGAGCACTTGCATACCGACAGCCTTTCAGCACCAGCAAATCAGCTAGTTCTCCAGGCCAGCAACTTTATGCCAGCTTTACGACAGCACTGTTTCACTACTTTTCCGCCGCCTTCACACCTACTTTTCTACAGCTACTTCTTTACGGCTTGGCAATACTATTTCTTCTGCTTTTTTAGTCCTGGCGACTTAGGCAGGTAGTCTTTCCGACTTCTTCTTCACTTCGTCATCCCGAGGTCGCGGTCTTCACGGACGCCTTTCGGTCAGTTCTACGTTTGGTACACTCTTGCCCTGGCAGCAGCTTCATTCGTGTGTGGTTCATCTTTCCCCCTGCTCCTGCTTCATTCGTCAGTTGTCCGTTCGTCTTACCTCCGTTTCTCTTCCCACCCTTCCCTCCTCGTCAGGTACCATCAAGCGGTGGCACCACAAGCGCGGTGCCATGACCCACGGTTCCAAGTCCCACCGTGAGCATGGCTCCATCGGCTCTGCCACCACGCCTTCTCGCGTCTTCCCGGGCCTGAAGATGGCTGGCCAGGTGGGCCCCTGGGGTGGGGTCGTGTGCTGCTAGGCGCAACGCGGGCGATGAGGGAGTGGGGAGGTAGCGCCAGGGCGGGCCGTCCGCAATGAAAAAGCAGTCTGGCAATTTGGATAGGTCTGCCATGGCTTCAAACACACACATACACACACGCAGGTGCCATCTTTCAGCTTAGGTCAGTCTTTGCTCAGCCTTGGGCTCCGAGGGGTATGTCAGCAGTACGGGGCCTCCATTCCGTGACGGATTGGAAGGGGACAGGGCGGGGGTTGGGTTAGGTAGGGGCTGTGGAGCCCTGCTTAGGCTAGCACAGCCTGACAAACCACTTGAAGACCACTAATATAAAGGAGCTGTCGTGCACCGGTTTGTAGCCGCCCAAGTAGTCCGTCAGCTTGGCCGTCCATTTAACCATGTTGACGTCTATGTCACTTAGCATCAGCGGGACGATTACTCTCAGCGGGTCAGCAGGCTGACTGGCATCCTCATTTTAGCCTAAAGCCCGCCATATACCTCTTTTTAAGGCGTTGTTAAGGAATTAAGGGAGAGGCGGTCTCTTCTTGTATTTTTTAGGGCTGTTAGCGCGTTAGGGCTGTTAGCGCGTTGGGACTTTGCGGCTTCAGGATCAGGATCTCTCCATGTCGGGGGATACGGTGGAGTGCGTACACTATATCTAAAGCTAGCTCTGTGGGTGGCTATTCGCTCGAGTAGTACCCTACGGCTCCGCTTGCCGCCAAGTAAAGCAAAACGATGTGTGTGTCCACCATGAAAGAAGAGGTGTCTTTTCTTCTGGCTGAATCTTGAACTCCCCCCTGCTCATATTGACCCGACCCCCTCCCGTGGACCCCAGATGGGCAACGTCCGCGCCACCGTCAAGAACCAGACGTTGCTCAAGGTCGACTCGGAGCGCCGCGCGCTGATCGTCAAGGGCTCGGTTCCCGGCAAGGTTGGCAACGTGGTGGAGATCACCCCCGCCAAGTTGGTCGGTGTTAACTGGTAATTGGTAAACCACCGCCGACCTCTTACCACTGCTGCCTCCCATCTACACAGCGTCCTACACTGAACGGTGCCCCTACACTGCCGTCAGTCGCGACGACTCCGGGTTTCCCGAGTGTGAGGTCAACGTCTACCCGTGTGGAATTTGGGCTGACAACTGCGGCCCAAGGTACCCTCCACTGCATATCCTGTTGCTGAAGCGTAAATTATATCGCCTGAGGGATTGTTTTTGCGAGGGGGGGATACATGCATATGCCCGCGAAACGGCGCTTGTGAGACCCTGTGTGGCAACTGCTTGAGAAATGTGGCAAGTGTGGTGAATTCAAGCCTTTTGCTTGGAGCCTGCGGATGGATCCCGGATCCCGGGTGCAGTACAGTGCCTCGAGCTCGATGGTGCCGCAGGTGTTTTGATGTTTTACACTCTTTGCAAGATGTGTAACGAGGCGGGGCGGGGCGCGGGGGTAGGGGCGCTGAACGTTGCGATCAGGCGGCATGCTGTTATAGCTGCCGGCGGCGGCGGTCTCTTGCCCTAGGTCTGCCAACCAGTAGATCCCGGGGTGGTGCGCATAGCTGTTGTAAAGTTTTGTAGAACCAGTGGTCGTTGTTTCTGTCCCAGCGACGGTGTGGGTGGTGGACTCTGGCGCTCAGGGTGCAGGACCGTTTTTAGGGCTGTGGGGTGTGTACGCGTCCACATCCCCTTGAAGAATGGATAAGAGGGGGGCGTGCACTCGCTGACACGCTTCTTGCGTTCTTACCAGCTTCGGGGTGTGCGGGTTTCCATCACGAAGGCTATAGGTTTTGTCCCCCGTGGGGGCGAAGCACCTCCCACAGCATTGGCCATCAAGTCGCACAGTGGTGTAATGACGCTTAACAGCGTTCCCTTTCCCGCCATCTGTTCCTCATCCCCATCCCGTCTGCACAGTAAGTGCCCTAAAATCCGCTGTTTGGGTCCAATTTTGAACGTTTTGTCGGATCCGAGGAAGGTCACTGAAGCAGAGCGCGTCCCTCTGTTGTGTGGAGCCACTGCCCGTCTGAGTCGCAGTCTCTGGGGGAAGGAAGGGAGGGAGTTCAGGAAACTGGGAGGCAGGAAAGTCGGTGAGAGGGATGTTGCTAGGGGCGATGTGGCCCCTTGTCAATGTGCTTCTGCCGAGGAGAGGCGCGCTGCATGTGTCCATGGTGCCGGCAACCTGCAAACGGTGCCTTTTGACAAGGTCTTGAAGGTAATAAATCCTTTTTGGATGGGCGGTCCAGGAGTCGTGGTGATTAAGGGGCCCTTTTCCGGGGGACGCTTTTCCATCGAGGCTGCGTTGTTGCGTCTGGCGGCAGCGTGTTGCTGGTCTATGTAACAAGAAGGTGTTCATTTTACACGATCGATCAATCCCCGCGCCGTCAGCCTCAGCCGAGGTAAATCACACGCAAGATTTTGGCGCAGGTTTAGAGATGCAACCTGCTAATTCTCCTTGGATCGTTGGACACGCTGCTGGGGGTTCGAATCATTCCAAGACCGTGGGCGTAGGGCTGCAAGAAAAGTTTTTTAAACCTGTGTGAACACCACAAACATAAAAAACACTGGCCGGATGCAGGAGGCTTAACAGGGATTGCTTCGCTTACCGGCTAGTTTCGTTACAGTTTATAAGACTTATGGGGTTACTTGGATTGTGAGGGTCACGTCTACGCGTGGCGAAGTTGTTCATGACGTGGATGATAGTCAGCTCGCTGATGCAGCTGACTACAGACTCGGTCGACATCCTGAGGTAAATGCGGACAGAGTCCTGTAAGTCTCCAGGGCATGTGTCCTTTGCAACCTGGCAGAGGAGAAGCACCTGATGGTCGATTCCAGCATATATATGAAATATATGAATGACACATGCATCGTGCATGGCGTAAATTTCAATCCACACCATCCTTCGTCCTTTTCGCGCCACAGTGCAGCTCCGGCACCTTCCAGAATGATATTGTGTTAAGTAACACCGCTGGGGATTTGGTTACGTTTTATGGATTTGGTGTCCTCGACAGCCGCAGCAGTGATAAGGAGGTGACGCGGCCGCATTCCGGGCCCCGGCCGCGGGCGGAATGCGGGCGGGTTGCGTAAGAAAGTTAACTAATCAACCGTTATCCAAATGTGTCCTGGAAACTTGATTGCACCACAAAAGAGAAACGTCATGCCGCAATCATATTCATATGCTTCTCAGGACTGACTGAAACTGATGTGGCATGTGCGCCAGAATCAGGGTTTGTGTGTCCGTCGCACATGTCAAGTGAAAGGAAGGAAGGGCAGGCGCCCTAAAACAGCGCTGCGGACCTGCGGTAGGGTTAGGTGGTTATCCTATGACACGTTTCGGGGCTCCCGCACTTATTTTATCTGATTTGGTGAAGTTGTGAATCAGCCCAGAGGCAATCAGTGGGAACGTGTGCAACGTGTGCATGTGGATGTGTATACACATGTATGTATGTATATATGAATACATATACATATTATGTATATTCATATGTGTGTATATGTGGTGGATGCAGTGGGCTCTAGGCTCTGAAGAGTCTCATAGAATTAGGCGAGTCCGCAAAGCGAGTCGCTGGCCTGACGTATGCCTTGTGGCACCCATCAGGTACATGACGAAAATATTCGTCGCGCCGCGGCGCCCGGTCGGAGGCCCTTTAGGGTGGCCAACAACCGCTGTAAGCAACCGGGCCCTGAGGAGACTCAGACGTGAAGGGGCCCGGGAAGTATGGCACTGCAGTGCGAGAGGCGCAAAGCAGTAACGGGTATGCAACCAGATATGCTATGTTCGTGAACGCCACCAACAGGCATGCTGAAGCAGAAAAGGAAAGGACATCATGCGGTCATCTGCTACGTCTTTTCATGGTTTCGGTTGGGGATTGCGCAGTGGGAAATCGGTCAGGGACATCGCGTCAAAACCCAGTACGAATGGCGAACGTGCTTGCGATGCCTGCAGGTTCTCATCACACGTTCACACGCAAGACAAAAGTAATTACGTTGAGATTGGTCGCAGCGATTCACCAGCGAATTACAGGAAGCCAACTAGAAGCCATTAAGGTGACGCGTCTCCCCATGTCCTCGTGGCGTGTCCGAAGCAAAATCGTCAGGTCTTCAATGTATAAATTGCTTACAGAGGAATTACCTATATTTTTCTGGCTTTTGCAGCACTATGCAAAAGCGTCCCCACAGGCATTGTATTGGAAATCTAACATAAGAGACAGTGCTTTTGTGGGACCACTATAAATGGTCCATCCTTTCCTCACTCGAAAACATGAGTGACGCGACAGGAGGTCGATTCGCCAGCAACGGCCTTGCATGTACAGCACAGTGACTAGGTGCGACGCAGCCATTCCGTGCAAGGTTAAGTGAAAATGTATAAATTTTACGCCTTTCTTCGTGGCATTGGTGAAAGGCAGACTGAAAACTTGTACGGAATAGGACTAGTGTCACGAACTTTAAATGTACGTACTGCCTTTCTATGATAACGCTGAAACTGTTCGCAGGTCTAGCCTTCATCGTTACTATGGTGTGCGGAGGGTTGCAAAAATAGCGTCTGAACGAGCGCTTAAATTTCATTCGTTCGTGGAATTTGTCAGCGGGACAACAATACAATTGGAAACTTCTTAGTCCCAGAATGACCGTGAAATTCTTCAACTCGCCTCAATCATGCTGCCACTGAGCACTTGTGATTTTATTTGCATTTTGTTGCATTTCGCTCCTTATGACGTAATGCAGGAGGACAGTCACCCTTCCATGCGTTCACAGTTGTTGCGCGAAGAATTCGCAGAAGCTTTGCAACTTAATAAAGAGTCAATGTAAAAACTCAATCTTCGGTGCAAGTTGACGGGGCCCATATCAGACAACGAACCAAGAGCTACCTTTTCCCAAGGAAGCTCATCGGCAACTAACATTAATGTAAGCCGTTACGAACCAGATCCTTTATATGAACTCAAATGTTCTTCTTAACGTATTGGCGTGTAACATGCTCGCTGTACCGTTTTGGGTTGAAGGCACATGTCGCTGGGGATGCAAAACCATCCGCGGTTACCTAATTGAGGTTTTGTAAAACTAACAGCGCTACTTACACGTTTAGCGGGCCCTCGCTTACGGTGCCGGTACGGGCGGAGAATGCCGTAAACTCCCTACTTTTCATGCGCCCCGGAGCCCCATGCATGCAAGCAAGTTGCAAGCCGCATAATCAGTCGATGCATTTGTATTTCGGCATGACATATATCGACAAATAGGCAACAATAAACCTCACTTAGTCACCTATCGCTCCCCGGATTTGTCTAGTCCGGCCTGTAGACCCAGCATTTTGGAAGTATATGTAGACAACGTTTGCTTGGGTTTGTACAGGCAGTCGCTGCCTCGTTGTCTAGGAAGCGCCAAGGCGCCACGCTGACAAACAACGCAATCGCGGTGTCTGCATACAAGTGATGCTGTTAATTGATTAGAGAGTAATCAGGTCGCTGCGTGGATTTGGGGAACTTCGTCTGTTTCGTTACGTGTCGCAGAGCACAGCTCCGGCGCCTCCACCGCCGTCTGTGCCGTGCGCTTCGGCTTCATTCTCATATCATAGCCATGTTTGGAAACGCTACAAACGTCTCGAGCTTCGCAGCGGAGCAGCCGCTCGGCGTGTATCCGGTCTTTAGTCCAGCTCTCTCTAGTGGGCCTGCACCAGCGCTGTCATCGACCGGGGAGGAGATACGTACAATCTTTGTTACAGGTTTTCCTTCCAACGTGCATGAGCGGGAGCTTCATAACCTTGTGTGCTTCCTCCCCGGATACGAGGCATCACAGGTGAGGACTGCACATACTTACAAACGGAAGCTGATGTTTACATTTTGCATCACCATATTACATACATTTGCCGCCTGGTTGATGGTTTTGGGTTTGTGTCACTCCAGTGGACCTCAGTTCGCCGATGGCTCGTGCGACGGGCTGCGCCCGGTACCGGATACTTAAACTAGTTTTATGAGACACTTTTACTTTCAAAGTTTTCATCGCAAAGTCCCTGTCCTTCGCTTATCGTTGTTTGCTTTTGTGTGTTCTCGCCGTTATCCGGCTGCCTTATACAAGGATAACCCCCAAACCCTCTTACCTTGAAGCACCGTGCTCTCCCATGACGAGTATGGAACGCAACGCCGCTGGCAATGCTACAAACCCACGTCACAGCCGCTTTTTATCAGTGTTTGACGTTATGCATGCATGGCACACCCGACAACTGTTCAGACGTCTCATACTATACACAGAAGGCGTGCCTGGCTGCGTCATCTGGGTCATGGCGTGCGCACCCCCGCCTATCGCACACATTGCCGGCTGCCCTCATTCCACTTTAAATTTCGTGAATCGCTATTTATTAGGAATGGTGCCATCGAAGGATTGCAGCAGTACGCGCCAATGGACAACCCCCTGATTTGGGCGGCCGCTGTTATGCACTGCAAGTCTGTCATTAGCCACAATAACTCTTGCCTTATCCGCCTCTTGGTTCTAATAAATCCCGGGAAGGAAAAATTGATTCAAGTTTAAGTTATTGCGGGTTGACCCAAATCGCTAAAATGCTCTTTCCGACCTCCAGCGACAAAACCCAGATCGCCTGGTGTGCGTGTGCCCAATGACTATTCGTCTTTTTTTTCGCGAACGTCTGCTATTGCAACCGTTTCCCCTGCCCTGCTAAATTGCCATTTGGCGAAATTCGCATCCTCGTTTGATTCTTAAAGGAGAGGACAGGGCAGGGGCAGTTGTTGTCGATCATCAATTTCAACTTTGCCAAAACCACTGTTACGGTGTGTCATTGCTTGCACCCTTTCAACTACTGATGTTGACGTTGTTGGTGGTGTACTTTGCAGATGAACACCAAGCCGGCGACCGGCACTGCACCCCAAGGCTTCGCGCTGTTCAGCAGTCATGCCCATGCTCAAGCCGCCATGCTGACGCTGCACGATATGCCGTTCGACACCGACTGCCACTTGCGTTGCGAGATTGCCCACAAGAACATGTACCTCAAGGTCAGGCATGAGTTTCGTTTTTTCGTTTTCAGTCTTGAATATCGTTTTCTTCGTTTTTTCATCCGCCCGTCATCCCTGGTGGAGGACGCTTCTGAAGGGCGAATTCATACCCTCGTTCATACCTATATGGGTTTTGCTCCTTCAGCGCTCTGGGAAGCCTTGTTGCCGTGTTTGGCGTGTGGAAAATGTGTTTTGTGCCGCCTAGGTGCCGCCTAGTTTTTGTTGCTTGCTTCGTATGCTCATGTGGGTCGTGTGGCGTTCTGAGGGATCCGAGGACATGCATATATTTGCCATTATTTGCGTCAGGAACACCTTTTTTCTGTTTAACACTCGAAGAAGCCGGAGGTTCCCGAGCATCAGGACGCTTGGAGTGGTAACCCCTTTTTGTCAGCCTGAGGATTTCTTCTTTCAGTATGAGGATTTCTTCCATGATGCGCGTCATCACATGGCTGATATTTATCAGAGAAATAGATATCTGCTGATATGTGATATGCGCCCCGATTAATGCGTTGCGTCCCTGACCCAGGCCGGAATATTGGAAGTTTGACTCGTTCAAATGTTAGGTTCCATTCTTTTGGCTCCCCGTTTGGCCTATTTCCCAAGTCGCTGCTGTGATTGATAATTTTTTACGATGTCCTCTGCAGTATTCCCTGCAGTGTCTATTCCCAGAGTATCCGTTTTATCTCTGGTACGTGATTTAATCGTCTGTGGTTCGTCCTTCCCTTTTTTGGTTGATCGCAGGACGATCCGTCCATCCGCCGCGCGGATACAAGACGCATCACCGCCGCAGCAAGTCTGGTGCCTGGAGGGTCCGCCGGCACTATGTTGGCGGCTATGTCGCCTGGAGGGATGGGAGCCATTACGCTGACCGCCGGGGGCCCGCCCTTCACAACTGCGGGTAGGTTGCTGAACCTTTTGCTTTGTTGGGATGTGGCTTGATTTGGACTTGGCTAATGTTTTGGACACGGTTTCGTTGGTAGTTTTGCTGAGAGTGCTCGAGTCGGCAGTGTGTGCGCTGTTGTCTGTGTGTGTATTTGTATTTTGTTGCATGTTAGTTTGTATGACACGTTACGTGTTGGGTATGATTTGCAGAGAGGGTACTTGCGGAGGAATATGGAAAGAGAGAAAAATCCAAGGCGGCTTGTGTTATTGTCTAGATTTTGCCCGAGATTGCCGAGATCGGGTCATAAACACGTGGGCCTTTATTATGGAAAAAACCAAAACTCCAAAACCGTTTCCTTCAAAGAAAAAACCCAAACCGGAAGCCCACTGCTGGATTACATGGGCAGGAAAACCCTCAAAACCCCTCCAAGCCCTTAATTGGAAAACTCAAAACGGACAACGTAAAACCTAGCCATTTTTTGGCTCACTGATGCGCCAAGCTAGCCGTTCTTGTGGTATGCCGCTCATGTCGTCCTGCCAGGGACGTCCAATTCCCTCCTCCTCCTCGGCGTCGCCTGTGGATATGCCCGGTAACGGAATCACCTCCGTGAACTGTTAAGCATGGTCTCACATGTCGCCCGTGTCCTTTCCCTTCTCCACTGCTGTCCACTGCTCGCCAATCATGGCCACACCCGTATAGCGCTCTTCTCCTGTCCTCACATCCCCTGAGCCCTCGTTCTTGAAACCCCAAGTCACACGTCCCCCGGTGCCGTCTTGTGTCCCCGCAGGGATGGCCCCGCCGGCCTTCACCAGCCCCCTGCTGGGTTCTGCACTGGGCTCCTTGCGCGCCACCGCAGCACATCACCACCACACCGGCACGCTGCTGCCGGCGCCCGGCCAGGCCAACGCGATGGTGCTGCAGCAGGCAGGACTCATAGGTGGCGCTCCGGCCGTGTCGTTTGGGCCCGTGACCAACAAGTTTGACAACCCGCCATGCAACACTTTGTTCATTGGTGGGTCGGGGGCGGAATTTGAAAAACTGCGTGTGTGCGTGCGTGCGCGAGGAAGGGTTCGATTGACAAGCGTGACATGAGGTTCTGCATCTGGTTGTCGCAGTTGGCGTATCGAATTGTGCAATGGCTTTTGGGGACACTGTGTTCCCCTTTTTCTCTACTCCTAACTTATCTACGTAAGTAAAGATGTTGGATTTTGGGGATGAGACCCCTGTTGAATGTTGTGGTGCTTTGTATCGGAGCTTGTCCCGACGGCTCTTGGACGTTTGGACTTTCGAGAGAATTTTGTCGACTCTCGTCTAAATTTCGCCGCGACGAGATTTTTCCTTGGACTGGTTTCGCCATCTATCAGAAAAATGAACGTTTCGACGCGGCCGTGTGTCGCTCCTTCCACGTCGCGCGCTTCTCACAGGCAACCTGGGAGATACGGTGGACGAGAATGAGCTGATGCAGGTGTTTGGCAATCAGCCTGGTTATAAGCAGCTCAAGTTGCTGCGCCACCCTCGACAGGTGAGAAGTGAAAGTTTAATTAGTTGGGTTCCGTTACGAAAGTTCCATGGCAACGGATTATTGAAAAGTCAAGGCAGGCCACATGTTGGGTGCGGCGGCGAAGAAAGGGCAGGCACTTTTGCAGGAAAGGGACTTTGAGAAAAGACGAGAGGTCATGAGCCATGGCATGTCCGATTTATTCCTTTTACCCCGTGTATGGTTTCTCTTGTGTTCATAAATCTGGTGTCTTCATAAATCCTTTTGTCATGCCGCCCACACATCCCGCACTCCGATTTCTGACCGGTCTGTGTTCAGGTGAGCTGCTTTGTGGAGTTCGTCGACATGGCCAGCGCATCTGCCGTACACAGCAGACTCCAGGGCTGCATCCTTCACACGTCTGACCGTGGCCCGATCCGAATCCAGTACTCCAAGAATCCGTACGGCAAGCGTTCGCCGCATGCTGGTGGCGGCAGCAGCGGTGCCGCCGCCTCAGCTGCCGCCCTTGCTGGAGGCATGGCAAGCGCCGGATCGTACGGCACTGCAGGGCACTCGCTTGCGAGCTCTTCGCCGTCGTCGTCGGCTGCGCTGTTGGGAGCCGCTGCCGCGGCGGCGGCCGTGGCTGGCGGCGCCAATATGGTTCCGACTTCCATGGCCAATGCCATCATGGCCGTCTCTGCCGGCGGTGACTTCGCGACTGCCTGGCCGCAACATTTCACTTTGGGCTAAGGACAGAGCACCAGGGTTTCGAGCTGTGGCGGAGCCCTTCCTTTTACCCCTTTTCAAGTAAAGGGTTAATGGAAAGGGCGGCTGCATACGGTGTTTGGAATGCATGCCCACCCCCCTGCTAAAGCGGCCGCGCTCACTACAGCGAAGTTTGCAAGTCCGGGGCGAAATGGTGAAAGTCTGCGGAAGAGCTAAGCACGAGGCCTCTGGGGACGTGTTTGACTTATTTACTGGGGGCTTTGCGGTCTGCTGGGGATGGGGATCGGGATGGGGATGAGGGAAGGGGGGGTATTGATGTTTGTGGAGTTTGTTAGGGCGTCATGCCCTGTTTGTCCGTCCGTCAGTCTGTCTGACCCACCCACGTAAGAGAAGAACCCGTCGGGGGGCCATAAAAAGGAGTGCGCGCTACGTGGACAAGACCTGGAACATGGCACATTTGGGTCGTTTGACGGCTTTTTGCTTAAGAAATAGAAATACAAATTTGTAGTGAGGCTGCGCCATCTATGACGGAGTAACTTGGGTGTTGGGGGCAATATAAGGCGTGGAGTGGCGTGACTTGTTTGTCCTGCTTTTTTACGTGTTCTCTTGTGTGTGTGGATTTGTGTGTGTGTATGTGCGTCTCTCCGTAAATAGGGAGCGGGCCTGGCGAAGTGGTAGTTTTTAATAACCAATGAACTGCACGTGTGTATATGCTTGCGCATCCCCATGTATGTACGTATGTATGTGTGTGCGGGTGGCGATGAGTAGAGGGGGTCCCTTTGCGCAGCGCCGAGACAGTTCAAAGCAGGCAGTGCAGGGGTGTGCTTTTGTGTGTTTGTGCACTTGTATTGTGTTGTGTCATACAGGGTTTAGCTTGAGGGAGAGGACCACAATGGATAGTTGGCCACGGCATGCGGAGCACTGATACATCGATTTACATCTTCCTTGACTTTCTGAACTCGCCACCGTTTTGACCACACCCTTAATTACTGAAAAGGGAAAGCACAGCCGAAGATGGCCGGGGCGTTGCGTTCCGTCTCGACGTCTGTGTTTTGACAACCGGGACTTTGGCGCATCGCTCTCTTTCAGAGAGCAGCAGCAACATGCACACGACACTTCATAAATTTCCTCCTTGCCCGTGTGTGTACGACCCTTTACGGAAAGTGGGCTGCGAGGGACGGCTGGTGTCATTGTGACTTTCCGTTGTCATCGCATCATTTGTACGGAGACGTGGGCCGCGCTTGATCCATGCTTCGTACCGTGCTTGTACGGTTCTTCTACGGTCACGTGCATGGATGGATGGAGGTTTAGGATGATGCTGTTTGCATGTCTGGAGGCATAGGCCTGTTGGAGAATGCAATGCGCTGGCCTCCTGTTTTGCGGCTGGAAGGGTGACTAGCGGGGGTGTATGTGCGTGGGGGGAGCCGCCCCAATGTATGTCTCGAGGGGAATTGCCGTTCCGGCCGCTTTTGCCGCATAAAACGCGTCGTCGTCTTCCTCATACCTGATGCAACAGTGCTGATTTGCAAAATGCAAAGCTGTGATGGCATTGGGCGATTGCCGGCAGCGATCGCGTCGTGCGTCTTTTGCTGGGATTGTTTCTTCTGGCCGTGAAGACCTCCCGCGTACCTCAGCCGTCGCATCTGTTGTTTGCGTCGCACCGGACAGACAGGCAAACAGATGGACGGATGTGTAGCTTGCATTCATCAGGTCATGATGTCCTGGTCCTGGCTCAGAGCTCTGAAAGTGGGCCAAATTAAGGCCGTGCCTGTCCCGGTGTTAAGTTGCCTCTGTGCCTCTGTTCTGTGCGTTTTGCGTTCTTGCCGCGGGCGTGGTCTTCCTAAACGGGTGGTTTCAGATCATTCTTAGGAAAGCCGCCGACCCCGCAAAATGGCACTCGCGCCGCCGCCGCGTTCCGTGTTTTTGGCCGCGAATTAATTTGCGGCAAAACGCACTCCTAATTGCACTCATATTTCTCTATTCGTTCCTTCCTTTTGTGTCTGTGTTCTCCTCCACCTTGCGTGCGTGCATATACGTGTGCGCGCGAGTGCCATCGGAGCGGGGAGTTGCAAGCGTGAAGTAATTTGAGGTACTTGGGAAAGCGCGGTTATGCGATGCTGCTTCCGCGCTTAAGTTTCCTCGCTCGCTCTGAAAAGAAACGACGTGAATGTTGCGATGTTTCTTTCATACATACGCACGAAGTCATGAAGTCATGGAACGTCGTCGTACGTGCCTTCGCATGTAGAGGGGATAGGCGCAATCCGAGTGGAACGGACGTTTCTCTCTCCGTATCTTCTTCCACGGACCAGCTGTGCGCAGGAATGATGCTGTTGATGCCAGTGATGTCGTATTTCCCGGCCGGCATGGCCTTCATTGATGGAATGGCGTTTGAAGGGGCACTTCCTGGTGCTTGCAAGCGCGCCTTACAAGTACGCCTGCCCTATTCATTCTACCACATCTCATGGTATTTTGGCGTTCTTGTGGGGCAGTGAGGCAAGAGGACACGGACAGGTTGGGCGCTGGTGTCCTAAACATCCCGGGGCGCAGATCGGTGCAAATGTTTTTTTTGGCGGGGCATTCAGCGCAATCGCGTGGACACAGACGCAATAGCGGTGTACCTCCGTTCTGTGGACGATTATCCTGCACGCCTTTGAGGCATCATCGATGTTGGAATGCGTCGTCAATGTAGTGGTGCTGGAGAGCGCATTTTGGCGGCGCTGAGGCGCCTGAACGGAGAACTGTTGGACTTTGTGAGGGCGTGTGTAGGGGGTTAGGCTCTTCTTACGTTATCGTCTCTTTTTACTTTCCGCTTTAGTGTTATAGTAGCGGGAGTGGGAGTTTTGAAGCGACTGCAGCTGCGGCGTCGTTTGGCTGTGTTAGGACTTTGGAGAGGAGAGGCGTATGCGTGTGCGCGTTCATCTTCTTCAAGTTATATAGTTATGGAGGGAGATGCACGAGATGGCTGGTGTTGCTTTGGGGTCGGTCATTGCTTGCTACCGAGTTTTGTTCTAGATACCGCTGTTGGGGGGTGGCTGTGTAGGTCACAGTCCTTTGTCGCTGGCACGCCGTTGTGCGTGTGTTCTGTCTGTCGGTCTGTCGGTCTGTCTGTCATTACGCGCTGGTTGCGAAAGTGGTGTTTGGATGCGTACAACAGGATGACGGGACGAGGCGGAAGGGGAATGCACAGCGGCGACGAACTCCAGCAATGAGCAGCAGCAGCAGCAGCAGCAACGTCGTAAGAGCAACGCAAGAAAGCAGCAGACTTTGCCTGTGTGTCCTGACAGACGTTGACGCAACGTGTTTTAGAGCGCGCTAATGCCACTTAGCCCTTCAATTGCGCAATTTGGCGAGGCCGAACAACCTCGGCTCTAACCTGCATCAGGGTCCGTCGAAGGTGCTGCTGGTGGTAATTTACGCACACGCATACAATGCGCTCCTTTGCAGGCATATACATCATTGCAATGGTCTTTATCAAAATGCCCTTCCGACCCAGCGCTAGGAGCTAGAAATCTGAAGGTATGGCATACTCGGTATTCGGCGTTTGAAGAAGGGGCTGGCGGGGGCTCCCTGAAGCCGATTCATCCCACGACCGACAACGCATGGGGTTCATGTCTTGCCATGATTTGGTTCTTTGGCGCCCCTATGCGGATCTAGAGTAGATTGATGCCCCACCGTGTGGTGATTGGCACTACCAGTACGTAGCAGGGGACCACCCTGCTTGCTTTGCTGATTTCGCATTTTCACAGCACACATACAGTCTGAAATGGTGGTCATGTGTACAACATGCTGGATTGCGGTAGGCATGGATGAACTGAATTAGATGATGGGATTGGATGGGGGGCTTCCATTTTGTCGTGTGCGTGCGCGCGCGCGTTTGTGTGTGTGTGGGGGGGGCGTGTGTGGACGCGCCTTGTGTACTTTTTGAACGCGAGTATTGGGCTTGTTCGTCGCTATTGTGCCGTGGCAATTGCGGAGTTGGAATGTGGCACAAGAGGGGGGAAGAGTCTAGTGAAAAGGTATAGAAATGAGCTCTCGCTGGTTCTCGTTTCGTCCGGGGGATGTTTTAGTGCGTTTCTCTGCGCGCAAAACATGATTTTGTTTTGTTCTGTTTTGATTTTGATCTGTTCGTGGTGGAAATGCGTTTCATACAGCCTAAAGGATGCCAGTAGATTGCCTAAGTACTGTTCAATTCTCTGCTGTCTTTTGACATGTGTCTTTTGACATGTGACGTGTGGAGTGGAACTTTTGCTTGCGACGACGTTTTCCTGCATCGCGGCGGGTCATTTCAATATGGCCGGGTCAGTCTTAATGTCCCTGCGTTTCATCTGTGGTTTAGCTGCGTGCTGATGATTTCGGACCGGACCTTTATAATTGGATTCTGTGTAGTTTTTTATGCCCCACGGATTGGGAGACTGTGGCGAGGGAGTTAATCCGGGTAGGATGATAGTGCCGCTCATTCGGGTCTGTCTGTCTGTCAGGATTGGAAGCGGAGGAAAATTGGTTATGGCGGGTGACTATGGCGGGTGTACCCAGATGCTGTATTCACATTTTTCTTACGCGTCCCAAGCACATGCCTGGCGTTGCTATGATAAGAGTGGTGCAGTGAGCTGGACCCACGGCATTGGGCCCTTTGGTTTCTGCTGCTGGATGACCCGCCAGCCAGTTCCCAGCCGACCTGCCTGCGTACACTCGCCTTTCTGTCCCCGCCGACCCGCGACCTGCTACCTGACGATTGGCCCGGATTCGGA